TAATAATAAAAGAGTTAATTTAAGGGATCGTAAGTATATCATATTTCTTGTTTAATTTGATATATATTATTAAACTTGTTTATTTAATATTTTTAATATAAAAAAATTAGCTCATATTGAATAGCATGTTTGCGTACTTTGTAAAGAGCTTTACACAACTTGGGCAGATGACGAGCTTCATTCTTCTAAATGGATAATAACCTTTGAATGAAAAAGTATTTATAATAGTCAAGGAGATGGATTAGGATGTACAACCATTTGCTTTAACTTTTTCCGAATTAAACATACCATTTTCTAATGATATATTTTTCAAAAAAAGACACTAGAAGACTGACCACAAAGAATGACTCTTACTGAGAAAATCGATGTTATATAACTTGTTCAATGAAGCAAAAGAAATTAGGATGAACATTCAAATAAATGTCATTTTGGCGACAAATTTCGATTGTGTATCAATAAAATATGGGATTTGCATCTATCATGTCACATGACACAAAAAAGTTTCCTACACACACAATATTTTGTGAGACCTGCACTTTTTGAAGCAAAAAAAAAAATCTAAGGCACGCAAAACGAATTTCTATAACATTACACAATCACTTTTCCTACAACATAACTCTTATAAAACCCATAAAATATATAACACTTACAAATATATTGTGCTGGGTATAACACTTACAAATATCTTGTGCTGGGTATTTTAAAATTAGGTAAAATAAAATAAAAATTAAAAATATTTAAAATCATAAGGAAAGCATGTATAATTAATTTAAGTAAAATATAAACAATTTTTTAAAATTATACACAATATATAAATAATTGATTGATTAAAAAGAATTCAAACTTAAAATTTATAAGAAGAGATGTCAATATTGATTGCTTTTATTCTTTAATAGAGATTAAGTTATTTTAAGATAATATATCCTAATTTAATATACAGAAATAAAATATTTGAAAACAATAAAATTTAATGTAAAATAATAAATTTAAAAGATGTTAACTATAGAGTATATAAGCCCTATAAATTTGGAGATAAATAAAATATGAATTGTGAAAAAATTAAAAATAATTATTTTAAAAGTATAAGTAGGGGTATAAAACTATAAATGAGTCGAGCATTCTGCCAGAGTCTACAACCTAACTTGTCTTAGCAAGACCCATTTTTAAAATAATACAGGTTCAGACTCATTAAAAGATCTCTTTAAAAATCAGATCATAAATCTATTTTAAAAGGTCTGACTTTCAAATCTTCGGGCCTGATTTGTATTTTTAATAAAAATAATAGTTGATATATTTTTTAATCTTTTCTAACCATTTTCGTGCGAATTTGGTTTTAAGAGAATAAGGCAATGTCATATTAGTTATTAACACAATTGATTTCGTATTCTCTCTTTAATTTTTTTTCTTTCTAACATTTTATTTTTGTGGTTGTATTATATATGTGTGAATAATTATGTGGTTGTAATATATTCTTTTTATTGAGTGGGATGATTATGTAATAAATAAGTGAGTGAATATTTTCTATGTTTTGAAATTTAATTGAGTATTTTACATCTTTGCCATTAGTTTATTTTTTATTTCCAGTAATGTAATTAAATTGCCAATATTTTGGGTTGTGTAGGGTTCTATCAACTCTATACAAAAAAGTAGAGTAATTATAACATATCATTTATAAAATATAATATGTCATTTTTAAAGACTTTTTAGACTTGATATGTCAGCCCATAATTTTTAAAAACAAATCAGGTCAAATTTATAATTTAGTTTATATCAGGTTAATAAATCCTAACATGCTAAATATATTTTATATAAATATTTTTAGGTTAAAATATGTTTGATCTGACTCGTTTACACCTATAAATATAAGTAATTGAGATTTTGGGAAAAAATATAAAGGAATAATTTAAAAGTAATTAGTAATTTGAATTTTTTTGAAAAATATGTATAAAAAAACCTAAACAATGATGAAGGCGCATAGATTGACCAAAAAGAGAGTATAATAAAAGAGTATCTAACTCACCAAAAAAAAAAATGTTTTTTAGAGTTAAACTTCCAATTACCTCTCTAAGGGGAATTGGCTCTCCTGATATCTCCTTAAGTTTTGATTTGTTGAGCTTGCTATGAGACTAATTTAGAGTACGGGGAGGATCAGGTAGATAATATTTACACACCTCCCAAAAATGACATGTGGGGATCGAACCGACACTCTTTCCTTTTTACTTACTCAGTTTACTTACTATCAAGTGAGCTACCTAAACAAAAGACTATATAATCTTGAAAGGTGAAGACTCCATCTATTTTACTTGAGAAAAGTGTTTGTCATTTTAAATGATATAAAATTATGTCATTTTAAGAGAGATAGACACAAAATAATTTTTTTATCTAAAATTTAAATTAAAAAAATCACTCACTTTTTCTCCATAATTTTCATTCCTTGTGTCTATCTCTCTCAACCAGTTTTATTATATAGAAACGAACAGCATTTGAATACCTGTAGATTTTTTGCTACACATTTTTACCTTGGTTAACTCGTTGTACTCGTTGATCAACTGTAACGAATATCTACAAAAGTCTAAGATAGGAATAGAAATCAAATAAATGTGGTTTACCTACCCTTTCGCTTTCTATTGCCGCAATTTTTCATATTCTTTCCAAATTTCAAAATACCAATAATGTTATGACTAATATTATGTGACTGCGTTTTTGTCATTTATCCCTTAATTTTAATTCTGTCAATTTTTTCTGTTACGTGATACAAACGGTCAAAATAAATCCGTCGAATACTTTGAAAATGGTTATGGTACTGAAACTGAGGGAAGCTGCTAATATTTAATATATAAGCTGTAATCAAGGCTTAGCTCTGCATGACTTATTAATTATTATTTAATTAGATTAGACTCAAATTATAAATACGCCTATCTAATAAACAAGGTTGGTTAGTCACATGTCAAGTAGTTGTTAGCACCTTGACCAATTTTGTGAGATAAAACGGAAGAAGATTAAAGAACAGAATAAAAGGCAAAGAAGTACGTGTCTATCCTTTGACTTTATAGATTAATTGAATAGTCTCATTAGAATTACATGCAATCACAAAAATTAAGAGAACTGATAAAATGTAAAAATTAATATATATTGGAATATTCATAGTGACCATGACATAGTCTATAAGCATTTATATATTTTTTTTCTTTTTTTTAATCGTGGGCATCTATATTTTTTTAAACCCTCAGAACTCCCTGTACCACCTAAACCAAACCCCAACGAAAACCGTTCAGTGACTAAACGTACCCCATTTCTCATCCATTAAATTCTGCTTGAAACTCTGCATTTTACGCATACACTATATTACTCGAACGTACCATTGAAATCATATGGCCACCTACAGCTCTTAGAGATATAGCCAGTTTAATTTTTACCCACAAGACTAAACCGGCTACACTCATGCTCAGAGTTCATTATATTGAGCATCACTGGCTAGGGATGTAAATAAGCTGAGTCGAGTCAAGCTTTAATTTAAATGAGCAAGTTTATAAAAAAAATATTTTGAGCTTGGCTTGTCCTATTTATAATTATAAAATATTTTTTTTCAAATTCACATACGTTCAAATGTTGAGACTATAAATGCATCAAATTCTATATTCTTTCGTCAGAGAAAAAATAATCATAAAACTCATTTAGTCCGCATATAATTACATCTTTCATGTTATCTAATCGGAACAAAAAAAAAACATTTTCATACATTCAATTATTCCATTAGAGATTCGATTCATGGGCTAGTTTGAAAACAATTCAAGATACATTAAAGCCAAGACTTCATGATCGAATAATGAGTTCCATAATTTCTTCTTAAACATTGATCCAACTCATAAATATAGAGAAGCACGCAGACCCACCCATATAAAAATATATTATTTATTATAATATAATATCAGGCCAGCTTATGGGTTTTAAAGCCAAGTCTCACTAAATTAGGCTTAAGCTTTGTTTGCTAAACAAGCTTTTTTTAAAGTTTGAGCTCATTCTATTTATTAAACAAGCCAAGCTTAAAGCAAGTAAAACTTTGGGCCCCTGACAAGCCGCTCGGCCCATTTACACCCTATCACCGACCACCAATCAAATATATATAATTAGCATATGGGTAAAGCGGATGTATAGTGAAGTGACTGTATGTAAGGGTTGGTGCAGTCAATAAATTATAACTATGTACTACGGGTAATACATAATTATAATATTGAATTTTTTTTTTAGAAATATAACTATGTACTACGAGTAGTACATAGTTATGATATTAAAAATATTTTTTTTTCTCTCCTCAGTAACATTTCAGAGGCTTGTCAGGACGTAAGAGAGAGAGAGAGAAATCTTTAATATTATAACTATGTACTATCGGTAGTACATAGTTATATTTCAGAAAAAAATAACTTTAATTTAACGTTATTATGTACTACTCGTAGTACATAGTTATATTTCTGGAAGAAAAAAAAAACCTTATTCTTACAACTATGTACTACTCATAATAAATAGTTATAATTTTTTGACCGTACCAAACTTCATATACAGTTACGTTATACATAATTTTCCCTCAGCATATATAAGTGGAAAATTATTTTTTAAGATATCCATCTCTATTCGAATTCATAATGAATCCAACTAATCCAGTTTTGAATTTATACTTCTTCACTCTTTATGGGAATCGTAACTCTCAAGATTCTAACACACTACCCTTTGAACAGATCAAATTCTAATATTTATCTTAGTCGTTACTAGATGAACAACTTTTAAATAGTAGAAAACTCTTTTTACCCGTGACCGTGAGTCACAATGAAAACATTATATTTTATTTATCAAGTATTCTTCATGGATAATTAGCATATATTATATAACGACACAAAAGTGTCGAATTTATGGTATAATAAATACATTATGTTTCCGTCGAGTCACTCACATCATTGTAATTAAATACTTCAAGGGACCATTATCACAATAAGTGGTTGAAATTTTCAATCCGCAAGCTCAATGTTGATGCCTCTGATTTTGACAAGCCCTTTCCCGTACCTTGGGACCAATGTCACCATAACACTATCATCGTCTTCAGCTCCCAAATCTTCCAACAAATCCGTTAACCCTAGTCTCAAATAAGTATTTATCTTCTTGTTTTTGTGCTTATGCGAATGAGGCACACTCACAAAGCTTCCTGCAAACTCTGTATTTTCTGGCCGGATCAGCTTGTCATCTTCGTCATTGATAAACACATCAAACTTCACAGCTGTGTTCCTCTCAAACTCAATCCCTTCAATCACTAAAACCTCTTCCTCTTCATCCTTCTCCTTCTTGCTCCTCGACTTCTTTGGCCTCTTCACGTCAACACTCACAACTGAATCCAAAACCAGTGGGAACTTCACATTCCTTGAAGTCTCAGCAGCATGTGCTGCACCAACGCCAAAATGTTGTGCTACCTTTTGAACCCTGGACCTGCGAGGTGTAGGTTTAGCCTTTAGCCAAGGAATGTCAACATCTTGGTAAACATACCCTAACTTTCTTGTGTCAAGGCAATCCTTGACCTTCACACGCACAAGGTTCTTATTCTCATCATAGAAGAGAAACCCAGATTCTAACCAATCTGAGTCAGTTAAATCCCTTCTTTTCCCACCTAGTGTTTTCCATATGGACCACACCCTATCAATGTTTGAATGGTGAGAATAGAAAATAGGATCTCTTGCAGCCGAATAGAAAGTCCCCATGTCCTCAATGTTAGGCTGGTTAATATCACCAGTCCATAAATGAACAGGACCATGAGGAACGTTCTCTAAGGAGCCAGCACCAGGGTCAGGCTCATCTCCACCACGATAAGCGTTTCCAAGGAAGAGTCTTGGGTTCTTTCCATTAGATACAACTTGCCTATACATTATAGTAAGGTTGGTGGAGATTCGGCCATTGGCGTTAGCATCATCATCGAGATTATAGTCAAGGTCTATGAGTGTTGGTGGTTGATGTTTGGCATTCCGGAGTTTGTCATAGAGAGGTGATTTGGGGTTTGTGTAAATGGAAGGAAGTTGCATGCCCCCTGGAGCATCCCAATTCCAAAAGGGTAAAGCAAAAGTTGGGTCATTGATCAAGCTCCCCAAGATTCTCTCATAGAAATAAAGATACCAACGATGAAAAGGAAAGAAGAGCCAAGAATTGTGAACTTGGAGATCAAGGTCAGGGAACCCAACTTGGTGATATGCACCATCACAATAAGCGCAATGGACGTTGGCTTGTTGAGTGAAATTACGTGGGTCATCAACTGGAAGAGCTTTCATGAGGTCAAGGGCTTTCTTGTACTTGGCTAGATAGTCATCATTGACCAAATGTGCAGCTTGTCTTACTCTAAGGGGTTGATTAATAGAGGAAGGGAGTTCAAAATCTATGATCTTTGTGGAAGATGGTGGGCAACAATTGGTGGGTTTTGCACTCGAGGGTAGGTCAGGTGGACCGCACGTGGTTAGGTCCGGAGGGGACACCGGAGCTGCAAAGGCTAAAGGGTTGTTGCTAAGAGTAGCAGCACCACAAAGTCCTCCTAGTCCTATGAGAACATTCCTCCTATGTCCTACAATATGTGGTAGTTTTCCCTCCGAGTTTGGTGTAAGGTTGTTTTGGTTACCACCACTGCATGCCACTTTAGAAACTTGATGGCGTTTTGGTTTTTTATGTTTTGAAGATTGGCATTGTTTTCGAGAAAATAGAGACAGTAGTGGAGAAGAGGAAGTGGTGGAGTTCGAAGAGACATTGACAGTGGAAATGAAGGACAGTGGTGAGATAGACGCCATTATGTTTAGTTATCTTTCTTTTTTTCTATTATGAAAAGGTAGAGTTTTGATCAGTCCTTTTATAATGAAATCATGAAGAGCTTTATTAGAGTTCGCGCGTGCATGATGATCCCCTAAAACAAATTTCAAACATGATTACAAAACTATATGTTGACAGTTAGCAAATAGGGATTGAAATTTGTAGCGGTTGATAGTTGAGTTTAATATTAACGTGAGCAATTTGGCTTCTACTATTATTTGTGGACAAATACATATTCAAAGCATGAAAGTTTACACGCAAAATATTTTTCCACATATATATAGAATCCTATCTCTATATAATATCGTCTAAAACTCTACTGTTAGACTTAATTGAGAGGGTACGAAAGTGAACTGCACTGCACCCGCGAGAAAAGTCTTTTGCATGTACTGTGTGGATGTAATTTTCTCTCTATATTATGATTAAATATATACATTATTGCCACCATAATTAAATAGGATATTTATCAGTAATTAAAGATTTTGATAACGTATATATATCACCATTAATACGGGCATTACCTTGTCATGCGTCTGCGCTTTATGCTTTCCAACTGAGCTAAACTCACATAAAAACGGTAAACTTACTAGTATTCATGGTCAATATTGTAGTTGTTGCTTGTACAACACCATAATGGTCCTGGTTCCAATGCTGGGAGAGTCCAAAAAAAAAAAACGGTATACTTAGAACGTGTTTGAGAGTCAATATTAGAGAACGAAAAAGAAAGGGAAGATTTTGCTTATCGCTTAATTTTCTTACACACACATATATATATATATATATATATATATGAGTTTTAAAAAATGGAGAAGAATAGTAGGAAATTTTTTTAAAACCCCTCAATGCCATTCATCCTTAAAATTAGCGTTCCCATAATTTGAAATATAATGAATTATTTATGTGTCTTTACTCTCTTTTTCAAAAAAAAAATTATTTTCTCTCTTTCTTAAAATTATTTGAATTTATTTTATGGAACTATTTTTTTGTTGTTTCCAATTGCATTATTTTGAGATAAGTGATTTACTTTTATAGATATGATTTATAATTTTAATTTAGGTATAATGTGAAATAGACAATTTTAGAGAGAAAAATAATAATTTTTAAAGAGAGAAAATAATTTTTGAGGGAGAATCATTTTCTAAATGTGAAGATTATATACATAATATTTTTAAAAATTTTGAATTTAATTTCATTTGTAAAATACAATAATTATATTAGCTATTTAAGAAAGGAAAAAATTATAATTAAAAATATCTCAATAACACTATATTTTTTCTCTTATCATATTTTTAACTCCCAATTAAACAAGGCGAAGGTAATAATACCTTCAATTTCCTTATTCTTCTTTTTCCTCCCTTTCCCTTGGATCGATTTCTTTCTCTTCATCTCCAAACTCCCAATGCATGCCCTTAGGTGCGAAGATAGATTATAATTTCGAAAAATTTATTGTTGATGTTGATACACAGATATGTCCGTAAATATGTATTTTGTAAATTGGTCAAGAGTTAATAATTTAATTATTTTTATTCTTAATGTTATTATATATTCGGAGCACTTTAATTGTGTGGAAGCTATCTTATTTCATTGTGTTCTGCTTTTTATACGAATATTAATATTTATGTACACAATTACCAACAGCTTATTTTTTTCTTTCAGCCGCGCCGGAGCCGCCAAAAGGTGTGCCCTCAAGAGTTTGCGTAATTTCCATTATGTTGTAGAATGGGTTTCTGTTGATGAGGTTTACGTAATTAGTTTCCCTTTTTTGAGTTTATGAAAATGTTGTTTTGGGCTACTCTTGCATAGATTATAGACTTGATATATTGGTTATTGGGCTTAGGTTTTAGTAGGCTGTTTTCTTCTAGGTTAAGGATCTTCCCTTTATAGGTGGTTAAAGTTAAATCTTTCGGTATTCAAAAAAAAAAGTTAAATCTTTCAAACGATTAAATAAAATTAGGGAAAATAATAAAACTATAAAAAATAACCACAAAAATAAAAACGTTTTTGGGCTCTCTATTTTATCCATTTTATTTTTTAAAAAATTTCTCATTTGATTATATATATTTTCTTTCTTCACGTGATTATCTTAATTACATAATTGACACTTTCCCTTAAATGATGATCTCGTGTTTTTTTAAAAAAAGTGAGTGGAAAATTTAAAACATTTTTTAATTTATTAATTATCTAATAATCAAAATAATTGGTTGAGTTGTGAGATGTGACAACTTAATGATTTAAAATTCAAATAGTTTTTTAAAATAAAATCAACAAAATCTTAATTATTTTTTAAAGAACGATATGATTTTAAAATCTCCATTTTATTGGAGGAAGCATAAGAGAAAAAAAAATCTCTTTTAAAAAAATTAAACTTCTCATTTTAGCTGTTTCATTTGTAAATAATTGTCTTGTTCAAATTTTTTCATTCAGACTAAGATAAATATTTTAAAAATTATTAAATTTATTCAATTAAGATAATCATTTCTTGAACCGATCAGGCATAATATTAACGGAAAATATGTGTTTCATAGGGGTGTTCATCAACCAATCCAAACTGATTCAAACCGCGAAAACCAAACCGAAAAACAAATAATCGAATAAACCGAAAACCGAAAAATTGGAAACCGAAAGAAAACCGCAAATTTTAATTGGATTGGATCGGTTTTCGGATGGGTTGATGAAAACCGGTCCAATCCAAACCGATCCAATATATTAATTATTCTCTACCTACTTGTCCTTTCTCCAATCATAGCCCAAAAATTTCTAAACTCAAAACCCATTAACTCATCAACTAAACCAAAAAAAAAACTTAGTCACGTCTCACCAACTATGGTATTGTTTACTGATATTTTTGTATTTCAATTTTTTTTTTACAAAACCAATATATACAAAAGATGTTATTTGCACAATAATCATGAAACTTATTTTAGGATTTTCAAAAAAACGAAAACCGATCCAATCCAAACCGAAAAAAATTGGATTGGATCGGATCGGATGAATTTTGCTTCCAAAACCGATCCAATCCAGACCGCGAACACCCCTAGTGTTTCATGTTACATGAGACAATTTTGTCTCATGTAACACAAAAAAAAAGATGAAATTTATTAAGGAGAAAAGAGATAAAAAAAAATCGTCACCTCCATTTTTCATGTTTGCATGAGATAAAAAAATTTTAATATATTTTATCTCTACACCATGAAAAAAATATTTTTCAATGTTAAAATCAGTTCTCAAATCCGAATTATTTTTCTTAAAGAAAAGAATAATTGTTGCGCCTCCAATCATTAGGCTTGCAAGAACTATACATGCCAAAACAAAGAAGTAATATGGTAATGCTTTATGCTTTCCCATAAGTCTAAATCTGAGGCACCTATCATGGAGCAAAGAATCAAATCCCAGAATATACTACAAATTTATTGAGTACAAGAATAATCTTGCAAGCTAGATCAATCTCAAAACCATAAATACCCACTAACTTTGAAATGCCATAAAATAAATCAGAAGCTGGATTTATATTATTTTCTATCAATACAATACATTCCCATCTAAAATGTGCTCATCATATCAAGCCAAAGATCATTTCACTATTCTTAAGCAAATCTCTAAATGGTATATGCTGTATTTCACAATCTAGGAACAACCCTTATAAATGGGGTTGCTTTGCTGTATTTCCCTCTCTTTTTACAAGGGTACACCAAAGTAACCCTTTTCAAAGTTTTAGTTAATATTTCTTTTTGAAAACAGGGCAGTTTACAACTTTGTTATATTTACAATTCTTATAATTTTAATTATGTACTTTAGAGAATACACTTTCGAGTATTGGTACTCCCTAGAATATATAATTGAGATTATAAGAGTTGTAAACAAAAAAATATTGTATAACATAACCCTTCCCTTGAAAGTATTGAGGAAAGATAAATATAAGGTGACAAGTTTAAGTCAGTGTAGGAATGTATACTGTTGTGCAAGGCTTTAACAGGTAAATAAGAATGAGCACCAGCAAATGCAACTTCATTAACAATAGGAGTATATGTGAAAACAACAGCTACATCATCATCAATCTTATCTGAAACCTAATTGACTTGTCTTGGCATGTATCGGCAGAAAGAAATGTTTGATGATATTCTGCACCCCATTTAATAATATGATCCATTACCAAAAAAAAATATTTGATGGTTGAATGGTGCTTAGATCTGAATTTGATCCAGTTACATTTCAAAACCCTGAAAATATCCTGTATGTGAAATTTCATATATTGGTCGATACCTCTGCAATAATAGAAGAAACGACAAGCAAAAAAACCTTGAATATATAGTGGGCCATGATACCATACAATGGAACAAAGATGAAAACGCCATGTGAACTAAAAGCCCACAGATAAACGATTCCTGAAACATATGATAGCAACACAATATCAAGATATCAATAAATGACTTTGCAACCAGAATTTTTTCTGGCCCAGTAGAAAAGAATGATTCTCAACTAGTGGTGGTGATGAATCGTAGACAACCAGATCCATGTTATATCATCCAACATATACACATACACATCCACAAGAATCTTCCATCACATTCTGTCAGTTCAACTGTGCTGGAGCAGACCCCATATCATTAGTCATCCCCATCATAAAGCACTCAAAAACCTTAAAAAAATTCCTATACTTATGAATAAAGCTAAACTACTTGCATACATTATTAATGTACCATTTTATAAGATGAAATGATAGGCAAACACAAGGGTTACAGTTAATTGGACCCCCTTTCTTGAATCTGAAGCTGAAACTAAAATAAGACAGCTCCAAATACTGCTCTTTGCAAGAATTACAGGTGCAGAAAGACCAGCTCATAATATGTTCTATCTGAAAACAAGAACACTTACTAATCAGTTATGAAACACAAGACACCCCAATTAAATAACTAATCTATGGACATTACCACGTGTAACTTTTTTTTTTTGTCCTTTCTTTTCTCAGGGTTTGATATCAGAATCATCCCAAGGAACATTCAGATCAGTTGAGACCAACGAATCTATATCCTCCCAACTCCAATAGTTTGACATTTCCATGCCAGTACTTGTTGCAGGTATCTCCCATGGGTGTGTGTTATTGCCGCTAGTACTGGGAATTATACCGTTGATGGTTGGCTCCTCCATTATTTTAAACTCTTCACCATAGTTGTAGACATTGGAGCATCGCAAAGAGGCTGACACTGCACATGGGTTTGTGTCAAAAGAGCTTGAGTTTGAGAAGGGGAAGAGAAGGCTTTGGTTTTGAGGAAAAGGCACAGTTGAACTCAGAAAGATGCCATTACCAATACCCAAATCTTTACCTTCTGAGTCTCTGGTACTCATCAGATTCTGCTGGGGCAGCAAAGATGGTGGACGAATCAGAGATTGATAGAGAGAGGAAGGTATGCTTTTCTGATCAGCCATTGCAAGAGGAGAAAGACTCTGCCTTTGAAGTGGCGTTTGAATTGTCATGTGGGAACTCAACTCAGCATCTATATTGCCATTTGAGGTGGTGGTACTAATTGAAGTGGTGGCTATGGTGGTGGCAGAGGTTGGAGTGGTTGTTTTTCTGACTCGCTTATTCTTCCTGCCACCACCAACAGGAACATTGCGTAGAGTTCCACCTTTAGTCCAGTGTCTCTTACAATCTCTACAGAAATGGCGAGGCTGAGACTTGTTGTAATTGTTGTAGTAACAAAACTTGGTATTAGTAGAATCACATCTCGGGCACTTCAAATGCTCTGATTGCTGAGTTTGTTGCTGTTGTCTCCTCATAGGAGGAGGCTTTGGGAGCTCCAAGTCTTGTGCTTGCAACAAGGTCTGGTTCCAATCAAGCCCTCTACTAGAAACCTGCTTAGAACTCAAACCCATGTCTTAAAAACCCCTTGAAAGCACTAGTAACCAGAAAAAGAATAGGATAAAAAAAAAAAAGGATTTTCTTCTATGCAATCAGATGAGAGAGGTGGCAAATTTCAGCCCTTTGATTGTGGTGCCAGAAGAGAAATAAATCCGAAGGATAACAAGAGCATCAGATTGCTGCTTATAGCCCAAACCGTGTGCAGGTCCAAGGAAATTGGTGAATGGAAGTGATTTGATAGAAGGAAAGGCCTAGGAAGCTGAGAAGTGAGCATGTCTTTTCTCTAATCTGTCTATATCTAATACCTATTTATGATCTTATCTATATCTAAAAGGAGCAATAATTATAACAAGATCAGAAAAAATAACTTGAAGTTGTGTGTGCTGAAAGAGAAGTGGTGGGGTGGTTTGATTGCTACTTGTGGGGGCATACGCATAGATAGTATAGTAGTGGAGGCAATCCCATAAAATTTTATGTAAACTTCGGTAACAACATAGGAGTGCAATTTTCTCTCTCTCTCTTAACACAAATATTAAAGGGAAATAGAGAGATGCTTAACCACTAAGGTGGAGAAGGTGAGTGGTTGGCACGTGGTAGGTTTTAGGCCATTGATAGTGCTCTGTGTTTTTTGCTGTAAAAGGAACGTAGATGTGCATGATGCTATGCTATAATAACCTAAGTAGCAGACTTGGCCACCAATGTAAACACAAAGTTGGCAAGAAAGAAGGCAAAGTACACTACGGTCTTGTTTTTCTAAATGGATTGACATTAAGGGAAAGGGGAGGGTGGTAATAGTGGGGCCTAAGATTCTTAGTTAAGGTTAAAAACAGTTGGCAACACATGGTTTCTTGTGGGATACAAGGGAATGAATAGATGTAATGGTGATTTATGGACCTATGTCATGTGATTACACGTTGCTAGTTGGGTAAATCTATGTGTTGCATGCACGTGTAGATCTCATGTCTATGGACTAGTATAGTACTGGTGTTGATTGAAGTATACTTTGGTATGTTAGGTAGGCACCAAAATTAAAAATGAAGTTTTGGTTTGTGGCCCTCGTATAATTTGTTCTTAATTAGAAAATAGAATTGGTGTTGTGCTTGATTTTGTTCAGCCAAGAGGAGAGTTTGATGCAACATTTTAGGTGATATAATATTCGCTTGTTTGGATGACTCAAGTTCTATGAATTATTCGATGAGTGGGTGATAAAAACTACAGGATTTGATGGTCAGAGACATCACAACAGCCCTGAGTCATTAATATCAAATCAAAAAAATAAAAAATTTAAATTTAAAAATAAAGAAAGAAAGAAGTCTGAGTCAAATAAGTTGAACCTTTGAAATCTGAAAACTAGGGAATTCTTGTGAAAATCATCTCATGTTAATTTTTTTTATATCAACAAGTTGTTCTTAAAATTTAAACCTACAATCTTTATCTATTTTCATTTTATTTTATTTTTGGATACAACAAGTTGTTCTTATTAACCTCAATTAAAGCAATTTCTTAAATTATGCCCAAGTAATATCTTAACAATTTAAGAGTAAGCGAAACAGAGTACATAAGCAGAACGAGTTATTCTCATTTTGTAACCTAAAACAATCGCCCACTTATAATTGAGAGGGCCTGCTAATGTTTTGTAGTTTTCAAGAGATTATTATCACTATAAATTACACATATGTCAGAAAATTAAAAACAAATAATTTAAATTTTCATCAAAATATGCTCAGAGGAAAAGAGAGGGCGAGAGAACAAGGTTATATATCTGGTGTAAAATACTGTATTATATAAACAATAGAATCATTACAGACATTTTGATTGGCAATTTGGTGTCATATTTAAATGTCTTGACACAAATTCATGTACAATGGAGCGATAGCAGCCGACACTATAGGACAAAGAAGCATTCCATTTTCATAATGACCGGAACATGCTCAACAATGTGAATTTCAAGTTAATAACTTCATTACAAAGAAAAAAATCGCAAAAAATATGAAGTTTTTGGATGAAACAATATTACTTATAGAAAAACCTTGGACAAACCGGGTGCTATAGATGAAACAAATTTCACACATGAATGAAGGAATTGCTGAGAAATGATCACAGGGTAATAATTAATTTTTCCAACTAGGTGACAGCCACAAGATTATTATTAGGAATAAGGAACCAAATGCCACGTGCAAATATATAATTAAGTCACGATTAGGCTAGGATATCAAAATTAAATTTAGTTGATTGCACTAACTGATAAGTGTCCACGACACTATATTTTTATTGTTAAATATAGTTCAAATAATAATTAAAATAATTAAAAATATAATGTTAATTAATAAAATATTAAAAGATAATAAATTGCCAACAAATAGATAAGATCCTAATTTTTGTCTTGTTTATATTGTTTTATACTAGAATGAGATTTGTATTTGTCATTTAACATGACACAATAAATTTTTCTACATACATAATATTTTGTGAGGCCCACACATTTTGAAAAAAAAAGAAAAAAAAAGAAATTACGGCACGTAAAACGAATCTCTATAACATTACACAATCACTTCACTTTTTCTACAACATATCTCTTATAAAACTCTACTAGAATAATAACAAAATACTAACGTGATAACGATGAGAACCCGGTTCCACTAACCATTTTTAAACATTAAATGTGCATGGAAATCAATCTTGCTCCATTGGTTAGGCAATGGGTCTCGTGTGATGGATTGCTACAATACAAAATGAAGAGGACAAAACAGAGAATGTTTGTCGGACAAATATGAAAGACACAGTGAATTAAATCTAAGTTGAACTCAATTAACTATGGGAAGAGTCTATTAAATACAACTAAGATGCCACCTAAAGTCCATTAAACTATTGTAGCCATTAAAAAAAAAATTGATTAAGGATCAAAATAACAGATTCTCGTGCTCATGCTTTGGTGGCTTTTGCTGTCACAGGTGGAGCCACCAACCAAGTGGTTTTAGTTTTGTAATCAAACATTAATTCCTCGAATCGTTTGTTAGTTAATTGCCATTGATTAGGTTAAGAACGACATGTGTCATGGCATCACGAAACTGGGCCATCTGATGGACCATTTGAGCCGTTGATCCTTTCTGGTTGGAATATGGATTGCGATATTTCTTTTGGGTTTTTTTCTTCTTCTTTTTTGTATAATTTTTGAATTTTATGTATGTTACTGACTAAGTGACCGAATTTGACAATGTCAATTACTATATATTATTTTATTATTTGGTGAAAATGTAGCTTAATCCTTAGATAGTTTATTATTTGTTGTGGAGGCTACGGTGGGATCAACTACCTTTAAGGGAGTGTTATTATAACACTACTCGTAGGCCGTAGCTTCCGCATGGGGTTTAATTTGCTACCACGTGAAATTTCGCTGCTTCGTAAAAGTAATGAAAGGCATTTTTCTTTTTTATTTAAAGAAATTGATTTGAAAGTTCATATATTATGTTGCGAGTGTTTCTTGAAATACGTTTAAGTGTGAACACATAAAGTTGGATTTGGATCCTCACATATATAAAAGTAGTCATGTGATCGTATTATTTAATCATAATCACTTATATAAAAAGTATATATTTTTCTCTTTCTTTTCTCATCGTTAATAAATGATTGTAATCAAATAACATGATCACTTTTAACATGAGAGAATCCAAATCCCACAAAGTTATTCTCCGCTACAATGCATTGATACTTCAAAAGATTTGACTTGTTATATCCGATATTTCGATATTATCCAACATGCATTGCAGAGTCTCAAAAAAGAATTTAAAGGTTACATTGCATTGTGTTGCATTTTTAATTTTAATTATTAAATTCGTTGAAGTACGATTATTATTTTATTGAATTTAATATAAATATTTGAGATATGTTCTGTTTCTTTACAGAATTAATAGATATTATAAATGATTTTTTTTATTAAATATTAAATATAATATACACTATAAAAATTAAAAATATTATTTCATATCAAAATATATTATATCGTGTTAAAATCAAATATTTTTTAAAATTAATATGTTAAAATATTGTGTCATATCATATCTCATATATCCGTATGGTTACAACATATAAATTATCTGTAGCCCGCAGACAAGCACATACGATTTTTCTTTTGAGGTTTTTATTATAGGGTTTTATAAGAGTCATGTTGTAGGAAAAATGATTGTGTAATATTATAGAGATTTATTTTGCGTGCCGTAGTTTTTTTTTTTTTTGCTTCAAAATGTATAGGCCCCCCAAAATATTATATGTGTAAAATACTTTCTTCTGTCATATTAAATGATAAATGCAAACTCTTTTATTATAAGATGAAAGTTGGTATAATGATTAAGAGAAACAGTAGGTACAAAACTGTGAAAGTTACGTTCGCGACGATGGCATGTGAGGATCTCTTTGAGTGAAGTAGCTTTATACGTGTAAGAACCAAACTAAATTTCTCACTTAACAAGTACCTAAAATACAAAATTTAGTATTTAAAATAAAATTGTTACGAAATAAGTTCCTCTTTAAATTTGCTTGTATATTTTAGTAGTATTTTCCTTCCTTCCTTCTTTCTGTACTTCTTTCTTTTTCTTTTTTTTCATGCCTATTACAGGATTATAGTAGAAAAGATCTCTTTCTACATACATTTTAGGATTTATTTACTGTATTTCTTCTTCAAGATAAAAGCTAAGTAAACATTGCGCAGTAATAACATTTCTTTTGAGGCTTCTATTATTTTATTTTCAAATATATATTATACCTTTTGTATATAATATTAACTGTTATTTATAAGAGTTCATTTTTTCTATAGTCAATATAGATAAATTATTTACCTTCAATTCAAAACGACATTGTTTTATAGTGCAAATTAAAATATTTTTATAATTATAATTTATTTCAGGATTATAATAGTCTTTCTCATTTTAATTTTTTTATTTTTTAATCCAAAATAACATCATTTTGAGAATGAATATAGATAAATTAAATTTTAATTTTTTATTAAATTTAATTTTGTGGTGGTATTTTTCGCCATCACATTGGTTTCTTTCATTGTTCGCCCTCTTTTCCTTTTAACGCCCTAAGAGGAAAAAAATTGCTGTCAGTTTTGTTCATAAATACCCAAACAAGGATACTAAGCTCTCGATTTGTTCATAAACTAAAACTATACACCCATGTTATCAAAAAAAAAAAAAAAAACTATACATCCAAAAAAAGGAAACTAAGAGCCCGTTTGTTTCGACTTCTCAAAAAAATAACTTTTATCTCTTCCTTAATTTAGAAGTGCTTTTCTATGAAGTACCGACACTTTAAAAACTCTGACGTGTCGTGTCCGACACTTACCGACACTTTAACGCGCATTGTAGAAACTCAAAAAAGGTTCAAAAATTACGTTGTGTTGCGTTTTTAGCTCTAACTATTAGATTTTTTGGATTACTATTACGATTTTATTTAATTTAATATAAATATTTATGATATCTTGTGTTTGTTTGCAAAATTAATGAGTATTATAAGTTTAACTTTATTTTTTTGTTAAATTATTAAATCTTAAATATAATATACACAACATAAATTAAAAATATTATTTAATATCAAAATGTATCATAACGTGTCGAAATCTAATATTTTTTAGAATTAACGTGTCAGAGTGTCGTGTCGTATCGTGTCTCGTGTCGGTATCGGTGCTACATAGGTGCTTTTTATAAAAGTTAGAGCTATTTATATTTTTATAAAAATATTTAATTTTAAAAAAAATATTTGACTTTTGACTTTTGCTTTTCTTAGAAGTTAAAATTTTTAGCTTATGAAACAAGTAAATTTTTAACTTTTTTTTGTGACTTCTGTTTTTTTTAAAGAAGACATCCAAACGAACTAAAAACGAGAAGTACTTTTTTTCTTTAAAAAAAGCAGCTTTTGAAGAAAAAAAAGCTGATCCAAAGAGGCTCGAAGTACTCTTACAATCCTTTCCCTTCTAGGCCTTTCATCTACCAAGCATGTGGCATCAGTGCTGTAAAAGTACTAATGAAGTTTCAGCTAAAAGTGCACGTTAAGAAGGAAATTAACAATTCAGACAACTTCTTACCGCTCTCGTATGAACCAAAAGATTTTATCTTACATAACAAAAACCTGAAGATATTACAATAAATTTCATTTTAAGATCGAAAATGGAAAACTGCAAATATTCAAGACCACTAGTTCGAATAATTCCACTAAACTAAATTTAAGACATTTGGTTGCTACAAGCCTACAATAAACATCCATGCCAACGTCATCTACGATGATCAAGCTGGCGAAATATGGCAGTGAGAAGCATAAGCGTTGCTTCTCTTACTCTATAGTTAAAAGAATCCAAGATGTTTTACGTAGACCATGGACAGTGGAGGTCTCTCCCATCCTGAGAGAAGGAAATGAAGTGGCTGGCTTGCGAACCAGGAATTTAGTCGTGATTGGAATGTACATGTTTTTTTATCCTTTTCCTTTTATTTTCAACAAAAAAATAAACATCCATGCCAACCATCTATATGAATCGTGGCGGGGTCAGGAATACTAACACTTAACAAACTCTTGTAAAGCCTTGGTAGGATTCATCGTATTGAGTTTCCAAAAGAGTGACAGCTTACTTTAAGAATACTAACATTCGATACAGATGCATTAAACCGCAGCTAACAACAAAATCTCTATTCATGGAAACAGAGAATTGCACGAGTAAAAAAGGCTAGCGCCCCCATTTTCCAGCTAAATTAACGGAAATGCCCCACCCTAAAACTTGAAGTCCTTCTTCTTAGACTTGCCCTCCTTTTCTTGCATCTTTCTTTTCCTCTTCTTCTCGTTCTGCACCAGAAAACGACAGAATTAAATACAAATCACGATTGTAAGTTAAAAAAGTTAATATGCATGTCCGTATGATTTGAAGGGTGAATAAAACACACCTCTGCAACCATGTCACTGAAATCTTCACGCTGACTACGTAACTTCTCTTCCTCTCTTGCTTCCTCATACCTGTATATTTACAGCAGAGGTAAGAAATCACTGCCTCACAAAGTAAGTACAACATACCAACTCTATTAAAATTGGAAAAGACAAAATTCATACTTCGCAGGCAAAACATTTTCCATGGCTTCCAATTCTTCCGGCAGTAAAGTGACATTCACTTGATCTGACTTCTGACCTTTGCTTAGCAAATCAACCTGAAAGTGCAAAAGCCAGAAAGAATGAAACATGCTACCCTTCAAAACAAATATCATCATCATAAGTAAACCCACCCCCCGCCCCCCAAATAGAGAAAACCCTTACCCTTTTGGCAGCTGACTTGTCCTGGGTGCCAGTGCCAACCACATAACTATAGAGAGAAGAAAAAAAGAATCATCAGAACTTCTCGATAAACAATTGAGAAAAAATATATATATGCCACTCCAATTCTATAAAAAAAAAATTGGTGCAAGTATTGCATACGTATGTGTGGTTCCAAGCAAAGTTCCTGGAGCAATTTTTTCTTCCTTCTCTTCAAGTACCTTCATAGAAAACAACAAAATGATAATGATATAACTAGTCAAAACAGAAGTCAGAGCTGATGGAAAAGCAGCAATAGAAAACTCACTTGATAAAGAGGCCTCTCAGGCTCCTTTCTCGGTGGCTTCCGAAGGTCAATAACAGAAGGTGTTGTCTCCCCTCCAGTGGGTGTGCTGAGGTGAAAATCACAAAGGAAAAGAGTTGATCATCACAGTAGATTAAATACAGGTAGCCTTAACCTCCCCCTCTCCCTCCCAACCAATCCACACACGTACACCCAAATAAATAAAAATGGGAGAATCACAAGGGAAAAGGGTAAAGCAAGAAAAGTACACTCAAGGACCTCTTGATCATTCATGAGTATAGTTCCCTGAGTGGTTAATAACCTTTCTTCCAAGCAAGAGTGGTAACTATTCCTTAAACATAGATTTAATCTCAACCAGTCATTTACTATAATAATAATAATAATAATAACAATCAAAAAACAGAAATGCTGAATGTTGCAAACGAAATTCTAGGAAACCTTTTTACGAATTCTTAACCACCATTGATGGGTTTTCTTTTTTACTTTTTGTTAAATAAAAAAGCAAAACAGCTGATACAAGTTTGGTTATGATTAAATTCTTGAAAGAATAAACCACTAGGATTGGTCTAATTGTAAGGAGTTTGGGTAGTCTGAGGTCATAGGTTCCAACCTCAGTGCTACCATTGTATCAAAAAAAAAAAAAAAAAACTCTTGGAAGAAAACATTTTTTCAAGACCTGTTGTTAACACTTAACACAAAATAAGGTAATCAAAAGACATACCTAATCATACCACTTAATTTGTAAATGATTTCGAGAAGAATACCATTGCTCATTGCAAAAAAGAAAGGTTAACTAGTCTAATCAAGCTGAGGCACTTTAAAACACCCATACTTTAAAACTCCATGATATATGAACAAGAAAATAATATGGTGAAATAATAATACCTTGACAGACTATCAACAGACTGAATACCAGCTTCAAGTTCCTCCTCCTCCATTTCTTCTTCCTCCTCCTCTTCCTCTTCTTCCTCCTCCTCCTCCTCCTCCAAATCACCCCAGTGTTTGGTCTTGTCAACTGGCTCTTCCTGCATTGTGAGAACATTAAGTAAAATACAAAAACAAATACCACAATGAAACTAATAACCAATCTTCAGTTGATATGGTTTGGGGCTCCTAGTTGATATGGTATGTTACTACTCTAATTATATAGTAGAGCTTATAATCAAACCAACCTCATAGTTAGGTTGTTCTTGTTGTTGAACACCAAAAACATCTCCATACAGTGGACGTCCATACTGTTTAGATGAAGACAGGTAAACTAGTCAATGAGACAAGAGAGAGAGAGAGAGAGAGAGAGAGGGGGGGGGGGTCTTTATTGAAAAGAAAATTTAGCAACCCAGTATTATTCAAGTAACAAATGATGAAACAAACTGAATATATAAAAAGCATACTTCATCGACAGGAGGCTTGCCCCATCCGCCAGGATGATAACCAAAGCTAGCTCCAGGGGGGATGGGAGCATTCAGTCCGGGGATCTTCAGGTGAGGGTATGATGGTGGAGGACCATATCTCTGAAAAAAAATAAAAAATAAATAAAGAACACATTTAATGTAGTTGAAGGGCTAAGAACAGAATAACATGAAAAATGCACCACGAGAGACTGTAATATTACCTGCATATTAATAAGCCATGGAGGAGGAGCACCCTCAGGCATACCAAGAGCTTCTTTCAATTCGTGTGATAACATTCCGGGTTTCATCTCCCTCAACTTTACCTGTATACCAACCAATGTCATCATATAAACTAAAATCCTTTTCAATCAAAAAATATATAAAAAACTATGAACCAACTTAAAACTTGTAAAGGTGCCAGGAACCCTGACACTCAACCAGATCAATAAACACATCTCATTAGAAGGAGGGCAAATAACGTAACTCTTAGATCAACTATCTAAAGAGAAATACTTCAACTGCCCAGCTGATATTTGTGAAGGCCAATTTCCCAAAAGACATCAACCAGAAAAGCAACACTACCAATTATCAAGTAGTCAGCCTAGACTGGAACTTCAAATTGAATGCTATGAAAGTTGAAATTTGACCCAGCAAAAACTCATTACAACTTAATAAACAAATTACTGCAAATGAAGGGGGAAAAAATACATATGAAATACAAATCAAACAATTTCATTGATATATGCCACTCGATGAAAATTTAGCTTACAACAATCAGACAATTTCTAAACTTTTATCTTCAAGAGACTAGGGATGGTACGTGGAAATTCATGTCCCAAATAATTACACTCTAAATTCAACTCAACTCAATCTTTTGCCCAACTACCTATTGCTCCGAATTAAATACCCACTCCCTACTAAAATAGCAGGAAGAACAAGGTTCTTATATGGTCCTGCGTGATTACCTAATATAACAACAGAATTAAAATCATGATGTAGCAACAGAAAAATAAACACAACAAAAGCAGAAGCTTATAGTTTCTCAAATCATCTGGCAACATTTTAGCATGGGTTATACCTCAAATTCTTTTCCTTCATGATACAGGTCCCCAAGAGATGTCAGTTTTGGCTTTGTCTGGTATTTAAAGAATGCATCATGAAGAACCTAGCATCCATGAAACAGACCCATTAGGAAAGTATAAAAATAGTTCTGACATCTGAATAAACAGAAAACCATGCAGGCAAGGCAAGTGGTGTAAAACACAAAGGAAACCTGATAGTCTATATCCATTTTTCCCATTTTTGGTTGCATGCGCTCCCTTTGTTTTTGTTTCAACTTTTTACTGTCCTCTTTCTCAATATAAGCCTGCATGAGACATCATGAGTTAATTAGAAGACACTATGTCGGTAAATTAACACACACACACACACACACATATATATATACACACTAAGCATAGATAAAAATGTTCAATAGAAAGAAACAAAAAATTCAACAGAGGATGTGAAAGGAGAAGTATACAAAATACCGGTCACAAGGCTATTCCATTAAAATCCTCAATATTATAGATCAATACTACAATTGAATCAATACTATCGTGATGACTGGCCACAAAACACTTTAGTGGATTGCAAGCAGCTTACTAAAACCAACTAACTACCCAACCATCCATCAAATATATATAGCAAAATTCCTAAAGATAGAAGGGCTTCTTCCCAGTTTCCTATTTAAAGAATCTTGACAAATAAATCAGAAGTTCATAAACTGAATTTCACATAAAAAATTTAAAAACAGCAGTAGCATACTAGCATCTGAGAGTATAGAAAAATGCAGTTTAAATAAAAAAAATAGCATGTAAAATTTGTTAGCAAATCACAAAGAATATTTACTTTAATTTTGTAGGAGGTCACTTTGAAAAGAGTCATAACATATGAAAACAGATTAGATCACATTACCTGTCTGATTTTCTCGATTCCAGTGGCAGCAATGAAATCAGGAAGCTGAAAGGGTTGTTTCTCGATACCTCGTTTCCCCTGCCAAAACAATAACATGACTTTTGATGAGATATAAGTAATTTATATGAACATAGACTATGTAGTTGTGCTAAGTAATATCAATCATAAAAAATTGAAGATAAGAGGAATTCAGCCCGAGCATTAAGCACAATGGAAAGGCATCTGAAAATTCAAAGCAGAACTATTAGCACCTTTTCATAAACAAATGCCCATTGATATTATGCAAAAACATCTTATGATTATAGTTCCCCATTATATAACATAATATGAGCTCCATATTCCCATTCAATCTAACAAAGATAATAAAAGAGAAATGACTCAAGGATGCCAATTGCCAAACACCTACAAGTCCAGGCTTGGTGGTTGCCACAGCCGCTCCCCTGCAAGCACCACATACATACATATAAGAGAAACCTTATCGACGTTATCTTCCTCACCCTATCTCTACATCCCTCATGCAGGCCACAACCATCAGACATGCTTGCATCTTTAACCCATAATTATCGATTTAGAATGCTGACTAACCTGCAAAAATTTTCTCTTCTGACACCAATGCCTAGGTACAGGTACGGTATTCCTATAAGATTTCAAGAACACCAGCAACTTTGGGTCTGCTGCAGTAGCATCCCACACCTTAAAAATGAAAAAGAAACTATTACATAACATTGCATAATGCCCATTAGACCAAACTAAAGTGAGAAGGGGAGACCAAACAATTTAAAACTATGCATGCTACACAAAACATTCCTACCTCAACAACATCAGGCCTTGAGCAAATCTGTTTCAGTTCAGCAATTTTCATCCTCCGTTGAAGCTGAACACAAAATTAACTTTTATTACAATAGTCATGAAAGAAAGGCAATAGCAAAATTAAAATAAACAAGTTACGCATTGCTACACCTTTTTCTTCTTGTTTGAGACACCTTTCTCTTTTTGCTCATTATCATTTTCATCCTCATCAGAATCAGAATCAGAATTTTTAGTAATAGCTGCATTTTCTGCCAACTCATCCTTCTTATCAGTATCCTAATAGTATAATAGTAAAACTTTTGTCAAACAATAAACAAAGAAAATGCAATGAAAAGAGACAATTGAGACCTAATCATTACCTCCGAACCAGTGACATCACTGAAACTGAATTTCTCAAAGATTTTTCTAAATTCTTCATCCATGCCTTCATCTAGCTCTGCCTTCTCTGGCACATACTCAATTTCAATTTGTTCAACAATCTACAATTTAACCAAAATAATGACATCAATTTGTGTGTTACTGACAATATATTACTATTTAAAATGTCAGCTGCGATAATTTCACACTTCAATTAAAGGAAATAACGATCTGCTACGTGATCTGATCTAATCACCTAATTAATTTCCAAAACACCCAAAATTGACGCTCAATGTAATAATTACAATAGTTACTTCAGGTTAAGAACTTCAATCGAAACAAAATATAATCTTCAATGGAAGAATAACTAGAGCAATGTGCGGTACAACGGAAATGGAGAGAAGAGAAAGGAAAGCATCCGCCCCATGTACATGGACCACGGTCTAGTCCAACTACACAGATCATTCACTTTCTTTTCCCTCAAATTCCCTTTCACCTAAGCAAAGCCCAAGAACTTCTCTCACTAGCTCGTCAGCCCAAGAACTTCTGTTCAAGTTCGAAACCCTAATTTCACTGCAGCATCGTTCGAACAAAACGCAAAAATAGACATTCAGAATCAATTTCTTAGCTCCTATCTTTTCCAGCAATAAATCGATTAACGATTACAAACCTCCAATGGAGTAAGTAAGAAAGATAACCAACGCACCAAAGCCTAAGATAGTCAGTCATCAAAGTTAGAAATATGAGAACCTGCTTTGGATCAGTGTTTTCCTTAGCGTCGTCACTTTCTTCGGCAGCGTTAGGCCCCGACTCCTCGGATGCTTTGTTGTTCTTCTTCTGCTTCCGACGACGACGGCGTCGGTCGCTCTCCCGCGACTTCTTCACGCCGGCGGTGGCAGAGGATGAGCTGTTATTAGCAACGACGCCGTTCTGGTAGGAAAGCGTTTCCGCGGCCATCGTTGGGGGTGTTTTTTGCGAAATCGAGAAATTGGATTAACACCAGTGAGTTTCAGTGTGAGGGATAAGAATTAGAAGATATGTGTAAAGAAGAAACAGATCTTGACGAGAGCGGGTTAATATATTACTTATATCCAAACAGCCTTCGCACCAAGGCACGTGTGAGAGAATGTTGTTGGGCCATTTGGGCTTTAACGTAATTGGCGAGAGTAGCTCAATTTGTCCTGGGCTAGTCCTGATGGCTCAATCTTGGCCTTGTGAAATTTATACTTTCTAGAACAGAAGATAAAGTGACAGGGATGTGCAAAATAACCAAAAAATTGAATCGAACTATGAACCGAATCGAACCGTCCCTTAAAATAACTAGTTTTTAAGAATCGGTTCATGAATCGAACCGATTTTTAAAAAATCAGTTCATGAACCCAACCGATTTTTAGAACCAGTTTAAGAACCGAACCGATTTTTAGAACCAGTTTAAGAACCGAATTATTTTGAACTGAACCGTTTCCGAACCGAACCGAACAATTTTCAAACCGAATCAAATTGATTTTTATAACTTTATTTTTTAAATTTTAAATTTTTTTTATTTTCAAAAGAGGATCGATCCGAACCAGTTCCGCACCGGTTTCGAACCGAACCATTTTGAACCGAACTGAACCACTTCCGAACCGAACCACTTCTGAACCGAACCATTTAAATCAATTCGGTTCGGTTTTTTAAAAAAACCGGTTCAACTCGATCCATGCACGTCCCTACATAATAAGAAGGAAAGGAAAAATAACAAATAGTCGTAGCTCGTAGGAACATGTATCTAATTTTAGATCTTATTCCTTCTTTCTTTTAAGGGAAATATTACTCTCCTTTTACATAAGGTAACTTATCTCATTTTCTCTCACTTCGATTTTCGCACTTCACTTTTTTTTCTTTTTTTTTTTCTTGTAATGGTGGGACCCACTCAGTTTCTCTCTACAACATAAGATACCTATCTTATGTAAAAGGAGATTAATAAAACCCTTCTTTTAATTCGTTATTTATTAGATAAGCATCTTTACTCAGCTTGCATAAAAGCAAAATGTCATTCGAATGAAATGGTTCGTTGGCCTATCAAAAAATCAATGATACAAAAAATTACTAGTATTTTGTAACATCATTTTGTATTAGGTGCCTTGTAATTCTAAGTCATTCAGTATCTTTTTATTCTCCTTAGTATATTTTTAAAATAATCTTTTCAAATTTTAAAAAAAATTAATTTTTTAAATATTAAATATTTTATGTATTACTCTATGTTTTAAGTGAAATCACACGTGTTATATTATGAAAAATAATAAGTAAAATTATTACAAACTTTGATATATATATTTTTTAAAATAAAATAGTAAATGTATACTTTACTTGTAAATATATTTTTTCTTGTTATTTTCAAAAAGAACAACCAAGCACTACATTATATTTTACTGATAAAATACTCTTAAGTGAAATTTTATAAATAAAACATAATATAATTTTTAAGTTTATAAAAAAAAATATATATTTATCAATATAACCGTCTCTTATAAAATTATCTCACTTTTTTCCCTACCAGTGTGTGTAAATTTAAAATCTTAATTTTCATAATGAAATTCAGAGTTGATTTCGGTTGAGGATGCTTCGAAATAGTGAAAGTGAAAGAAGGGCCCACAGGCTAAGGGTGGGTATAAGGGGAAAACAATTTATATTTGTGAATCCAGAAATACCCCTTGCCAACGGTGGAAGTCGTGCAACCAATCGTGGACAGTGGACACGGTCAAGGAGATTGAAAGCGGAATTCAATACACGCGCCAACCAACACATTTCGCCGTACAATGACGTGTCATACAATGGCTGGTGGAGATTCCTAATTAAAGCACGAACAGCAGCGATGAGGTATGTGTTCCTTCCTTTGTCCTCCCTCAAAATTCGTTGCTTTGTAAGGAAATAAATTAAAAAAAAAAAAAAAAGTGAAGAGTCCAAAAGCATACTGTGTTGACCCCACCAACACTTGACCTTGTGGTAAATCTATGCACATTGTTTGCCCAAAAACCAAACATTTGTAAGCAAAAATCATTTTTCAATGTGGTGAAAATTTATTTTTTTCTTCCTCTTTGGTACTTCCCATTCCATTTCAGATCTAAGAGCATCATAACCCCATTTGGGTTTCTCACTCTCCGGGGTTGGAGGAGGAACAGGGTGATTGATCCAACAGAATCAAAGGTGAAGTATTTTTCTTCTCTTCTTCATTGCACCGAGGAGAAAGAAAGAGATATACCCACCATAACAAAAAAATTTATAATTTCTTTTATAAATTGATTTTGTTGGTGAATTATATAGATATTAAATATTAGAGGGTGGGGAAGAAAGAAGGAGAAGAATGGGGTTGGTTGGTGTCCAAGAAAATGGGAATGGGATATCTGAGATTCCGTTGGGGACGAAAACCAAGTACACGAGGATGGACTCTGATTTCACGGAGGCCGAAGAAGGCTTGTCAACCAACAAGCATGATACAAAGAAATATGTATTTGCCTGTGCCATCTTTGCCTCTCTCAATTCCGTGCTTCTCGGCTATGGTTGGTAATTTTGCTTCTTCATCTTCACTTTATGTAATTGAAACCCTTTATTTTCTTCGTGCTTTTAATCTGATCTGCTTATAAAATCCCTAATACGTGTCAATTAAAGATTTTTTTAAGGAAAAAAAAAAAAAAAAAACCAAATAGATGGGATCTATTATCTTTTATGGGCCTTGATACTTTGATTTTAGGATTTCCAATCTTCCATAGCTTTATAATAATTAAAGTGATGAATATAAAATCCAGGGCTGTTTGTGTAATTTGCAACACCGGTTTTGTGTTTTAAGGTTGAAACTTTTCCTGGCCGCTCAAAAATTGAGATTGACCTCAGAAGAATGCTCTAGAGAATAAAACATGTCTGGACATAATGTGGATAGAATCCCCACTTGTAAAGTTATTATTGTGTCCATGTATGAACCTGTGGATGTTAAGTTCAATGTCATATATGTTCTTTGCTTTAATAGTATAGACAATGTTACTGTAAGACACTCGCCAACAATTGAACATAAAAAACTAAAACCTTCTAACTTTGGGCCAGGGCCCATTGATTTTTTTTGCCTTATGGCAAGAATTGTATGCAACCATTTTGTATTAATTTTATATAGTGTTTACTACATAAACATCACCAAGAGATATTTACTACATATCTTTGCTTTTCATTTTGCAGACGTGGGTGTTATGAGTGGAGCAATTATATTCATTAAGGAGGATCTAAAGATAACAGAGGTTCAGCAAGAAGTACTTGTTGGAATTTTGAGCATAATATCCTTGTTGGGTAGTTTAGCAGGTGGAAAGACATCTGATGCCATTGGCAGAAAATGGACAATTGGTTTGGCAGCAGCTATCTTCCAAACAGGTGGAGCTGTCATGGCTCTTGCTCCATCCTTTAAAGTATTGATGATAGGAAGACTCGTGGCTGGAGTGGGTGTAGGTTTTGGTGTCATGATTGCACCTGTATATATTGCTGAAATATCTCCTGCTATTGCTAGGGGATCTCTTACCTCTTTCCCTGAGATATTTATAAATTTTGGAATCCTTCTTGGCTACATATCGAACTATGCATTTTCAGGGCTTCCGGTACATATAAGTTGGAGGATAATGCTTGGTGTGGGACTCCTTCCTTCTGTTGTTATTGCTGTTGCACTGTTTTTCATACCTGAATCCCCAAGATGGCTTGTGGTGCAGAATAGGATTGAAGAAGCTAGACTAGTTCTGTCAAAGATAAGTGAGAGTGAGAAGGAAGCGGAAGAGAAGTTGCAAGAAATTCAGATAGCTGCTGGGTCAGCTAATGCTGAGAAGTATGAATCAAAAGCTGTCTGGAAAGAAATATTGTGTCCAACTCCTCCTGTTCTGAGAATGCTTATAACTGGTTGTGGAATTCAGTGTTTCCAACAGGTTACTGGCATAGATACAACTGTATATTATAGCCCCACAATTTTCAAGGATGCAGGGATCACTGGCAACTCTCAGCTTCTTGCAGCAACCGTTGCCGTTGGGTTTACCAAAACTCTGTTCATCTTGATAGCTATATTCCTTATTGACAAATTGGGGAGAAAGCCTTTGCTTTACGTGAGCACAATTGGGATGACAGTATGTTTGTTTAGCCTGAGCCTCTCTCTAGCTTTTCTGAGCCATGCAAAAGTTGGGATCATATTGGCAATTCTAGCAGTTTGTGGAAATGTGGCTTTCTTCTCAGTGGGACTTGGCCCCATATGCTGGGTTCTGTCATCTGAGATATTTCCTTTGAGACTTAGAGCTCAAGCATCAGCTCTTGGAGCAGTGGGAAGTAGGGTCAGTAGTGGTGTGATCTCCATGTCCTTCCTCTCAGTCACTCGTGCAATCACAGTAGCAGGAGCCTTCTTTGTTTTTGGTGTTATTTCTTGTTCCGCTGTTGCCTTTGTTCATTATTGTGTTCCAGAGACAAAAGGAAAGACTTTGGAGGAAATTGAACTACTCTTCCAAGACGAGGGTGAATTGCAACAAAGTGAGGTAGAATTGGGAGATGTGCAGCGTCTTATGCAGAAGTCATGAGTTGGTACTTGGTAGCATGCCAATCTTCAACATAAATTCTTACATATTTAGAATATAGTATTATACTCCTTTGGTGGCAGAAAAATCTTTTGTTATAATAGCGGGCATTTCTGCTTTAACAAAACCATGAGAAACTTCATTCCAGCGTTGTCCTTCAAGCCACCACCACCAATATAAGCTTTAACATTTCTTATTGTTCATATGATCTCTGGTTATTTTTTACATTCTGTAGAAAATGAGTTCAGATAGCATTGTTTCATCGAGCCATAATCGTAATTATATTGATATATTGTCTCTTTCCCATGTGTGATTGTATCTGTCTCTATGTAACCCTCTATGGAAAATGACCAAAGTGTCACACTTTTCACAAAAAATTACTTGAATGTCACGTTATGTAATTTTTTTTTTTTAAAAATGCCACATCATATGTCTTTATGTGTGTGTCATAAAATAATTTAAACTTATAGAGTGAATTAAACTAAAAAAATTAATAAACATAAATTACATTTAATTCATTAATATTCTTAAGTTAAATTACATTACTTAACGATTAAAAAAAATTAATATAACTTAAATAAATTAAATGAAATTAATTAACATTCCTAAAATAGTTAATTAATAGTTATAAAATATTTTAAATTAATTATTTTAATTTAATTCTATCTATATTAATTTAAATTATTTTATAATTGTTAATTAATTATGTTTAGGAGTGTTAATTAATTTTATTTAATTTAGTTTAAGTTATGTTAAAAAAATGAACTGTTAAGTAATTTAATTTAATTAAGGAGTGTTAATGAATTAAATGTAATTTATGTTTGTTTATTATTTTAGTTTAATTCATTCTATATTAATTTAAATTATTTTATATTTATTAACTTGTTTTTAGGAGTGTTAATTAATTTCATTTGATTTAGTTTAAGTTATGTTAAAAAAAAATTTAACCGTTAAGTAATGTAATTTAATTTAAGAGTATTAATGAATTAAATGTAATTTATGTTTGTTAATTATTTTAGTTTAATTCAGTCTATATTAATTTAAATTATTTTATGACCCACATGAAATATACTATGTTGCATAGCGCGTTTGTCACATGTTAGACAAGCTAATTAAACATGCTATGCTGCATAGTACATTTGACGCCACATAGTCTCGTTACACTGTACAGCGACTTACATGACCATGCACTTTCTGTCACGTGTTCACACCTAACTTGTCAGGTATTTAGCGACGTGGCATTTTAAAAGAAAAAAATTACAAAGCATGGCATTCAAGTAATTTTTGATCGTTGTCCCATTCCCACATTTTCAAGTACCGAGTCCATTTAATTTTTTTAATTAATGCCACTATTTGTACTATAGTTTGTTTCCAAAATATATCATACACAAGAACTGATAACATGGTTTAGGAGTGCCATTACAGTGTAGGAGTGATATTGTAGTTTTACATTTTTATTTTTATTTTGGAAAGAAAGTCTATCGTTATATTTTTTATTTTATTTTTGGGAAAGAAAGTTTATAATGCTACTTATAATTTATTTTATTTGATAATAAATGAAAATTATGCTATTTATTTGCACATATGTAAAAGTGGGTCCTTTAAAATTATAAGACAGTTGAGACCACCACGTTGATCGCGAAAGACTTTTCGAAATTATCAAAATAGAAAGGCAAGGCAACAACCACTTAAACAATAATACCTAGTAACCTAGTTCCCATTGATAGGTTTGATGTTTGAACATATTATGGGATTTAGCCGGTTAAAAGAGAATTAAGAAGGGATATCCCAAGATTGAACAACAATACTTCAAATTGGAGAGCTCTAGTTCAAATTTCATTTCGGTATATTAGAGAAGTTCACAAGAGTAAATTATAAAACCAGTTTCTTTCTACTTTACCTAGTCCTTAAGGCTTTAATTTTGTGGAATTTATCCTCACAAGTCACAGTTTATGATTAGGTAATATAGATTTTTTTGTTATAGACTTTAGAATGATAATATAATTAAAAAGTTGATAGAGTGAATTACATAAATAAAAAGTTGATAGGTATAATTTCGTTGAGACCTAAGAATTTCTCTAATTTCTTTACCAAATTTAAAGATATCCATGGGGGGTCCTATCCTCGGCAAGAAATTTGTGTTTGAACTAACAGTGATTGAATCTTGAGACTTGAAAGTAGGTGGATCACCTATCTGCAGGTGTACACGAAACTTCCCCCTCCCTCTTTCTTTTACTCTTTCAATGGGTGAGGAGCCATGTTGATTGAACCATATTCTAAACACAACTAGTATTAACATGACTTACCACAATGGATAAGTAGACTGAAGTTGTATGATTAGTACCTCAGAAAACGTCCTCTATTTGATCACCTATTTTCCATTAAATTTCTATTCAATCATATCTGGTTTGATTGCTTTTGCCTCTTTTAAGTTGCTCCTCAAGAGTCAAAAGTCTAATGTAAGTAGTTTTTGCCACAAACTAGTTATGATTAAGGACCGATTCGTGAACTTCCAAAAGTTCCTCTTTGTTTCCCCCCCTCGTAAATATTGCAACGAGCCAAACTTTTCATTTGTGAAAGAGATTATGTTAAAAGGAGCTACATTGTAATTTCCCAAAACATAATTGCTGGAAGATAAGCTAATGCAAACAAGGGGAGTAAGACAGCAAGTGAATGTCACGTGGAAGGAAATAAAGTAGGTGCCCTACTAAGATTGGAAGCTGATAAATCACTTTCACAATTTAATTGTCCCAAACAAAACAAATTTCTTGAATATCAATCAATCTTTACTTTCCATTTGCGAACTGCAATAAAAACCACAGGCAAACATGGAACCGGAAATTTTCACATCATATTCCTTTCAGATCCTCCGAAGAGATACAACAAAAAGATTATTGAATGAAGGGACCAACCAAACCCAGATTATCTAGTCTAGCCCTCCAATTTTTAGCATCCAACATGTCCTTTCCTATAGTGGAACAAACCAAGACACAATTGGTCCATAACCACTTGTAACACAAGCATTGGTTACAACTGTTTAAATTTAAAAACTTATCATTCTAACTCACTAATTACAAACTTCAAGTAGTAGAAATAAAATTACAAATTTGAAAGCTAAGTGTTACAGAAGATGCAACGACTTGATATGATACTATCAACAATGCTTCCCTTTACTACCTCTAGATTCCTACTCTGCCTGTTCCACAGGTGCACTGCCAAGCTTTCTTTGCGAATTTGCTCCATTTTCTTGACCAACCATTTTGAATGGAGCTCATCTCTAGGCCCTCCAAACAGACTCCCAATCCCTCTCCAATCCACAGGATAAAAAGCAGATGGTGGCAACACAGTGAAATTAAACCCGGGTCTTCCACTCACCCTGGATATCACTCTAGAGATCAAGTAAGGACCATTGTGACCCCACTTGTTCCCATCAAAAGTGAGTGCAAATTCTTCAATGAACTTGAAAAGCAATGGATGCTTCTTATCAAATATCAACACCGCATTGTTCAAACGACTCCATTTCCCAGTTTTAACATCAAAATTCTGTGCACCAATGACGTTCCTTAGCTTAGAGAAGCTCTTCAAGACCATGACATCTGCGTCCATGTATGTGCCACCAAATTTATACAAAAGAGCAAGCCTAAGCAAATTGGAGAGGTTTTGGCCCAAAGAGACTTCACCTGGATTCACATTCCCATTCTTCAGTCGATTAAACCAGGCTTCAGCATGAGTACCCTTGAATATATAATTGAAATCAGGGGCAATGGCTATGACTCTAAACCCATTATTCACAAATGGCCTCAGAATCCGAGTTCCTGTATCAGAGTCCAGGGATTCTGAAACTATCACCAAACAAGCTTTTGGGTGAGACTTGAACAAGCTCTCCACAGAGAACAATTCCCTATCACCAAATTCTTTCAATGGAGAAATCCAAGTCATGAAGAACCTAACCTTGCAAGAAGAAGAAGAAGAAGAATTTCCAGTGAAGAATGCTTTAATCCTGGACTGAAACAGTGGAACTTCTGAACGCACACTTCTGAGGCCACGCTTGTGCTTCTTGACTCTTCTGGACCTACGAATGGAAATTTTCTGAGTGGAGTTTTGCTGAAGGGGAAAATGGATAACCGGCGAAGTTTCTTCTTTGACAGCAAGAAAAACAGAAGAAGATAGCTTTGAATGGTAAGAAGACCATTTGGTGTGGCTTGGTGGGGAAAGAAGGAGAGGTTTGTGTGTGGATTTGGGGACATGAATCCAGAACACAGTGAAACCATTGTAAGCCAATAGGAAGAGAATGAGAAGAGCAAAAAATGAAGTGGGTAATGAGAAGAGTGTAGCAAGCACGGATCTTTTGAGGTGTTGAAGTTGCTGAAGGAGAATGAATGGGAAGCAGAGCACAAAATAACGAGGTTTGATACTTTGGTCCATTGTCTCAACAAGAACATGAACAGGAATAGGGGATGATTCAAAAAGTTTCAACTTTGGGCAGTTTTTCGAGGTAGAGAAAGTGGGAAAGAAAGCATTGTAATGGCGGAAGCGGTAAAAGAATGCTAGAGTTTAAGTGGAGAGAGAATAAACATTAAATTCAAGTGAATCGGTTCTTGTTTGTTTTGGCTCACGTTGCTTCGCTGTCCTAACGCCACTTTATTGGAAAAAATATCTGATGCTCGGTTAATTAGGATTAGAATATGTAATTAATCAATGAAAGTCATGATTTTCATAATAAATATGTTTAAAAAAAAAACTATGATCTTGAGAGGAACACGAACAAATGGTTTAAATAATTGTCTTATAAGGCATGTTTGGTGCACATTATATTGAGATAAGCACGAACAAGGTTTAAATAATTGTCTTATAAGGCATGTATGGCGCACATTATCACAAACAAATGGTTTAAATAATTGTCTTATAAGGCATGTTTGTTTGTTGCACGTTATAAAAGAAGGCTTAATAATATAAGATCTGATAGTATAAGGTCTGATTGAATTTTAATATTATTCAGTGTTTGACATGATATTGTATAAAATAATATATTGTATAAGATAATAGCACTAGTGTTTGGTGTAACATCCCTTAATGTTAACTTTTGTAAGGAATATTACATGTTTTCTTGTTTCATGTATATTTTCGCTTTATGTATAGTCAGGTGAGAAATAAGATGGAAAAGAATTAATGTTATTAATTAATACATATTGATGATAACAACAGTAAAGAAAATTATATAAACATCTATCAACATTACTTCATAGATAATGTTACGTCAGGTACAAAAGGAAGTTATTTTACATAGGTCCTATAGTCTACTAAATATTACATCACTTCAGTTTATATTTTACATACTGACATCACATAATTATACAATACAAGAGTCATATCCTAATCTAGTCTATAGGTGTAAGTCTCCACACTCTCAGCATAGAATATCGAAGCAGCTCCTTGATTTGCTACTACAATATAAAACTCCATGCGGTCCTCGTAAGAGTAAATATTGATACTCCACCCTTCACCTGATAAGCTTAGACTAGGCATTATGATTTTATGGAAATGTTAGCACAAAACAAACACACGTGAGAAAATTCTCAGTAACATTGAGATTTTCTAACTATAACCATTTCCAGCCGTAATAACGGAAAATACCATTCTCTCAAATAATTTAATAAAATAAAGTAATATAATAAATAATACATTGTGTAATATTTAACTGAAGCTAAATAATTTTCCAACTTTGTGGTTCTCTGCATATGAAAGATTTATTGTGGATGAGCTCAAGCCACGATAAGGCGTCCCTTACCCTATAATCATCTTAACCCAAACTCTGTGGTTCAGTTCATTGCAGTCTTCATCAGTTAAATTTACACATTCTCTTCATAATTATTTGGTACCAAATAACGACCCAAATTAACAATCAGAAAACAAACTTAAAAGAAAATAAAGAAACCGTAGAAGAATGAAATCAAAAACTAAACTACTGTAACAAGAAAATTCAAGGAATATTAAAAGAGAAGAATTTAACAAAACGACAGTAGCATAAAAATTCATATCGTTTGAAAATAAGAAGAAAAATGAGAGAATATATATATATATTTCTACCCAAAGTTACCTTCTGCATTACTGCCTCGTCGCTTTCCTCCTTTCTTTTTCTTTCTTTCTTTCTCTTTTTCTTCTCGCTGTTCTCTCTCCTTTTTTCTTCTTACGGATAGCGATATATATATATATATAAGAGACTTGTTTACGGTTAAATTATATTTCGTTAGATTTGGACAATCTGGTTAGATTATAACTAAGTAATCATTACTATTCAGTTATAACTATCCACGTTATCAGCAACGTACCAGTTTCTAGAAGGATTCTCGTAAGCATTTATCAGATGGTTCCACGTTACATGTTTACGTTTTATTTAGTTTCTGTAATATATTTATACATATTTTTATTTTTTATCAATTATTATATTATTATTAGTATTTTTTATTTTATTATTAATATATAATATATTATATACATTTATCTTAATATTTATTTCTTCTTTTTATTATTATTATACATATATACGTAAACATATATATATATATATATATATATATATATATATATATATATTTACGTTCACGCGAAAGTTCACGCTCTTTGCGTGAAAATTGGAGCAAATGGCGCCACTCTTGGCACTCTTGGCGCTAAAGGCGTCACAATTGGCGCTATTGGCGCTATTGTTGGCGCTAATGGCGTCACATTATTATTTTTTTATTTTATTTTATTTTTTGAATATTACATTTGGTAATGCATTGTATAATACTATATAGGATAAAAATAAATATTTTTGATAAAAATAAATATTTTTTGATAAAAATATCATTTAATAAAAAATTATATAATTCTTTCAAATATGTAACATGACATTAATTTTATAAAAATCCATTAATTTTATAAAAATCTTTTAAATTTATAAAAATCAGTATGTCCAAAAAAATATTAATTTTTATAAAAATAAAAATCTCCAATATATTAAAAAATAATATATTGAAAAATTAATTTTTATTTTAATATATTAATATTAAAATAATATATTAATTTTGAGAATTATACGGATTAGCGATGTTAATACATTAATCTTTTATTAGACCTAATCTCACCTCTTTAGGTCGGATTAAGTTATATATTGTTTTGATGTATTAAAGGATTCTGTTGTTTAAGCTTATACTATATAATAGTCATACCAAATAACTAAAGATGTTATAATATATAATATAAGCTTATATAATTAGATCTTATACATCACACCAAACATGCCTATTTGATGCAAAGTAATTGGGACTGCTCTTAAATGCACAAGTGGCAGTAATATGAAAATTTGAACCTAATTTAGTATATTATGAATTTTTTTAAATTTTGTAAATGTACTTTAAAAATTATATTTAAAATAACTCTTCAGTCATCCACTTAAAAGACAATTGGAACAAGAACTAGAACCGTCGGTGACGCATATTATTAGATAGAATCGTTACTCATAATATAATATTGTTCAAAATTTTATTTCAAAAATCGAGAATAAAATGTTCAAAATTAACTGTCAATGATATTGAGAGTCTCAAAGAGGGGAAAATTAGTTTGGAAAATTAGTTCATAGTTAATTATCACTTCACATGAAAAGAGTTTAGTTTTTTAAAATAAAAGAGAGAATAACATAATTTAAGCATCGCAAAAAAAAAATTACCCTAAAATTTTAAGGAAAATGTTATATTTACTACCTCTTTTTCTTATTACATTTTACTATTAAATCTTAGTCGTTGATTTTTGCTAATCTAACAGTTATAATTTATTGGGTCATACTTATTAATTAATTATTAATTTTTTAATAAATTATAACTGTTAAATTGACTGAAATCAACAATTACAATTTAGTAATATGAGATAGTAAAAAAAAAAAAAAAAGTATAATCTCTCTCTAATTTTAAAATTAACATAACAGACGTTTAACTAAAACGCAAGTAATGAGTCTGAACATGTAATGTAAGTACCCATTGGATATAGATATTTGCTTTCCCTACATCTACGTCTAACTGGAAACTCAACAACCAAAGCCGAGGCACTTAAATCAAGATTACTAGTTTTAGATTGTTGTCGGAAAAACGTAAATGCCAAAGTAGCATAATATACTTAGACAGTTAGCACTTGCCATGGTGACCAACAGCACTTTAATTGTGGCCCAATAGGCGTCCTCCTCAACTGGATATGACTAAAAATGTCCACATAGGGAATGTAAAAGATAAAAGCCCAATCGCTTCTGATTGAGATATGACGCGTTTAATGCAGAGAGTTGAGATTTTAAATAAAATCAGAAGGAGATTAAAAAATTATAAAACGTAAAATTGTATTATAAAAAAATTGTAAAAATGTAAAAGTATTTGGAATATCGGCAAAGTCATTTTGATGAAAAAAAAAATCATAAAAATATAAAATTATAGTGATAAATCAAGATTTTAACAACTATTACAATTTACAAATGATATAGAATAGAAGCCTATGATCACACAAGAAAATAAAACAATCGATAAATATTGCTTTAATTGGTAAGAAGGTTGTTCCCATAATTAAAGTTCTTTTTGAGTATGTGTGTATGAAGACATCACCACGTTAAGGCCAAATGATCCCCTAATGACAAAATGGGGTTTATTAACAGAAAAGATCTCAAATGGGTTAAAGAGCTGAGCCTTGCAGCTGCTAGCCGATCCAACCAACTAGTAGTATAACACTGCCAACTGCGAGTCTCGAAACTAATTAAGTTACTTGTTATGAGCATCCTTCTCTGCCAGTTAAATTTGATGAAAAAATCATTTTCCAACCAAGTACGAACATCACTACTAAAAAAGTGTTAATTTTTGACAGAATTTTTTGACGGAAAATATTCTGTAAAAAAATAACAACGAAAATTTTGACGAAAAACGTATCCCGTCGAAGTTTTCCACGAAAATAATATTCCGTAAAAAATTTCGTCCATAAATTTCGACGAAAAATGAATGTCGTCAAAAACTTTATAAAAAATAAATCATAAAAGAAATAATATTATGAAGTTTTCGACGAAATTCATTTTCCGTCGAAAATTTTCCGTCGAAAATTTTTGACAGAAAAATAATTCCGTCGAAAATATTATTAAAAAATAAATCAAACAAAATTATATTTATAAAGTTTTCGACGGAATTAGTTTTTCGTCAAAAACCATATAAAAAAAATTATATTTATGAAATTTTTAACGAAATTCATTTTTCGACGAAAATCTTATTAAAAAATAAGACAAAAATATTATATTTATGACGTTTTTGACGGAATTAATTTTCCTTCGAAAATCATATAAAATATATATTAAAAAAGAAATTATATTTGTGAAATTTTCGACGAAATTCATTTTCTGTCGAAAATCTTATGAAAAACAAATC